TAGAAAGGTTTATATCAAGGTACAGTGGTTAGGACTTCATGCTTCCACTTCAGGAGGCCCAGGTTTGATCCCGCAAGCTGAGTGGCGCCATCAAAAAAAAAAAACCAAAAAGATAATAATTTTGAACCATGGAGTTACAAAAACACTAATACAGATTTTGAAGATGAGGAATTCCATTGTAATTCTGTGATTGATTTTTTTTTCTTTTTTTGCCGTACTGTGCGGCATGTGGGATCTTAGTTCCCTGACCAGGGATTGAACCCATGCCCCCTGCATTGGGAGTGCAGAGTCTTAACCACTGGACCACCAGCGAAATCCCCGAAATGTTTTATTTTTTATTCTCAACCTGAAGTATGTAGCATTTGTTAAAACAAAGCCTCCCTCCGTACTAGAAGAACATGTGTTCCTCACAAAAAATATTCAACAGTTTTTGGACTGTAGTCATTTGAATTGTTTTACATATCAACCTTTTATATATGGTATGATGTTTTACTACTACATTTACTTACACAGTTGTTTTTTTTATCTCGAAACTTATAATCTTATTCAGAATTCTCTGTTTTAACTATTGTGATATTGTGCACAGAATGTAAAAAAAAATTTAAAATTTTGTCACCTGTGTGTATGGACGTGCAGTATTTTGGCCTTCTAAAAATGTATTTTTCATTTAGCAATTTTCTTCAAGCCTGTTTTCAGAACCTCTTAAAAGATAAAGCAGTAGATTGTAGGATGTATTCAAGATGACCTGTCAGTACGTTTTGGAGATGGTGCATACTGGACGAAAGATGTTTAGAACTCTTTCAAAAAATTTTTTTTTAATCAAAACTTGAATTCTTTCATTTCTAAATCAGTGAAATACAGATAACTTAAAGAATGTGACCTTAGTGTATTGCCCCAAGCACTCATTTGCACAGTAGTAGTGAATTAGTAGAGAATATAGCACTGGCATAGTAAAATTAGTAGCAGATTGGGGTTCAGGATCTTAGGTACTACTCCTGGCTTTGACACTAACTAGCTTTGTTTCTTTGGCCAAGTCATTTCCCCTCTTTAAGCCTGTTTCCTCATCTGTAAAATGACAGAATTGGACTCTAAGGTCCCTTCTAGCTCTGACATTTTGTGTTGCTTTTGTAATGGCTGTTTCTCTACAATTCCCTGGTGCAAGAGATCTTTCTCTTGATCACTCCGTTCTTAGAAAGTCAGTGTTTTGAATTCTTGATTTACCTACCAGCAAGAGGCAGTTTACTTTCTTTTCCTGTTTGAGTGCTTAAACAAGAGGCATTACTGATTTCCTTTCTAGATAGGATCAGAATTGCTAAAGGCTTTCTTGGCTCTTTCTCTCTCTCTCTCTGTCTCTCTCCCTCTGATTGCTTGTTTGTCTTTGCATTGTTGGGCTCATTCCTTATTTTAGTTTTGCTTTATTTTAGTAGACGAAGGTGGAAGGTGTAATAAAGCATTATCTTATCTTGGTATTCATTATGTGATTTAGAAGACTTAGCTTGTTAGAAAACTCGGTTCTTTTATTTATTCTTTCATGCACCAGTTCTGATCATTGTTTGTTTGTGGGTTTTTACCCTTCCTCCCATATTGTTTTGCTTTCTTCCCCTCTCCCTTCCCTCCCTTTCAGGAAAATGGAGGACTGGCTCCATTACTTCTGGCTCTGCCCAGGTTTTCTGCCACAAGAGTGGCACAGCCTGTGCCTCTAATGCTTCTGATAGAGTTGTGACTGCTTTGGATGCTACACCTGCCCCAAGATGTAATGTTGAGCTTTGAGATTCCAGGGGCAGTACCTTGTTGCCTGGATGATTTTCTCAGAAACGTCCTGGAAAGCCTCAAGAAAGGAAACTTCCGAGCAAACTGAATCAACTAGGGATCATGACTATACATCCATCACATGCATACCAGCACGGGTCCAGCCGAGGCCTCCAAAATGATGCTTTGCCAGCCTCAGCTGGTTCTCAAGTGATGATGTCCTTGAAGTCTCTGTGGCCTGTGACTCAAGAGTTAAGGTAGTGGAGTTTCCCTTAAAGCATCTCACAGCAGGCTTTGTAGATGGGACACATCTCACCTCAACATGTTTGCTGAATACTCATTTTGAAGTTCAGCCTCAGCCCTTACTTAGGTCCTTCAAATTAAGTTCTAACTTTGAGGTGTTGGCTATGCGATAGGCCAGGTGTGTGATACAGTAGGTCTTTGACATATTGGACATGAGCCATCAGCCATAATTTATGCAAAATAATTTAACTTTATTATTCTTTTTAGGGCTTAATGTATAGGCTTTCCTTTGCTCAAAAGGTGTTAGAGGGCAAATTTAAAACATCTTAGTGAGGTAGAGCTTAGGGAGTCTCTATCCCTCTGTATAACTGTCAGTTTGGAGAAAAATGGGCATTCTCTGAAGTTTGTAAACTTTTTTTGCTTCTAAAGTATCTGTGATTGTTCTGTATATTATGGTCTTACTGAAGGTTGTTGATAAATTAATTAATTCTTCATTATGTGGATCTCATTTTATTTTCCATGACTTATGTGATTTTTTTAAAGTTGGTATAGAATCTTATTGTTTTATATATTTCATAGTTCTTCTTCATGACAGTCTAGAACTTTAGTATTTGTAGGTTTACATATTTTGACTTTCCGTTTAGTAGACGTATTAGGAGTCGTAGAATTTGAAAGAAGAAATATTATGTGGTTTGTTAAAGTTAACAACCAAGTCTTTACAGATTATACAGAATTTAAGACATTTTTTGAACTTGTAAATACAAACTGAAATCAGGTGATTGAACTAAACTTTAGAGTAACTAAATTAATAATTGTATTTTTGTTGGCTATTATTGTACCACCCAAATGGGTATATAAGATCTTGTAACTGCAAGTAAACTATGTTTTCCTATTTGTAACCTATTATCCAGTGCTTCACATTATATGCACACTCGAGCACACACACACACATTTATTCATTCCAAAACAGTGCTTTTACTCAAACTGGCTTGAGAAAGTTCTTCCTTGTTCATGGGAAATGATAATGTGGTGTGTATTAAATATGATTTTAGAGTTTTTCCAGAAAGATGCTTTTAATAAATTTAAAGAACCACTGTTTATTTTGAAACTGTTTCCTAATTTGTGGAGGGTGTGTTTGTTAATTTTTTATTTTATAAAATGATAAAAGTAAATGATATTTGGGTTTAAATTATTTTCTTGATGAAATGAAAAGTTGGCAACCCTATATTAGTCCCCATTTTTAAACTGTTTACTGTGTGCAACCGAAGTCAGCAAACCGATGGAGAAGTTTAAGAGCAACGAAGACTTTATTGCTCAACTCGAGTAGGGTTTTTTTTTAATTTAAAAAAATTTTGATGTGGACCATTATTAAAGTATTTTATTGAATTCGTTACATTATTGCTTCTGTTTTATGTTTTGGTTTTTTTGGCCGTGAGGCATGTGGGATCTTAGCTCCCCGACTAGGGATTGAACCGCACCCCCTGGATTGGAAGGTGAAGTCCCAACCACTGGAACACCAGGGAAGTCCCCAACTCCAGTAGGATTTAAATTGGAGTGATCTAATTTTAGCAAATCGAGTTGGAAACCCTCAGAAAAGCTAACTCATCTGTGGTTTCCTGTTGCAATTGGTAACTCTCCACGTTGTATAAATATTCCTTATCTATCTGGTTAGGGGGGAAGTACCAAAGGGCATATAATAAGCATTTATGGAAGTGATTAGCTATTTTGTTTGCTTCAATCTGTTTAGGTGCCTTTGCTATATATCTTTGAGTATAAATAGCAAAGAACAATGTATCAAATAAAGTAAAGGCATTAACATGCATTGACATCTCCTACCATTGAATGTATTCTTGATTTAAATGTGAGTGCATGTTAAGAAATAAAAAGAGGAGTTTCAAATCCAAAAATAACAAAAGTTTCATAATTCCAGTTGCAAGTTTTTGACTGAGCTAGAGTCATTCTTGATTGCAGAGTAGATGTTTATCCACATAGAAGTTAGTTCATGGAAAACCAAGAATCATGTCAACTTTTGAGCCTTTCTGTAAGGTATTCCTTTGTTAACTGTGATTTATGAATTTATATCAAAAGGTGCAAAACACCTCCTCTTGCACAAAAACTGCTTTTATCATACACTTTCAGATGTCTTCCTTTAGTGCAAATATGGAGATTTTTAGGAATATATTTTATTTTAACATAAGATGGTATTAAAGAATTATTTTCTCATGCTTTTAGCAGTTGATTTTTTCATTAGCAAATTGGTCTTTGAGGAGCATCTTGAAAATTTTTGATATATTTGAGGCTAATGCACTATCTACTTCTTTGGAAAGTGGAAACTCATTTATGGTAATTTTTGTTCTTTTAACTATGTATGTGGTTAATAGCACTCTTGCCCCTTCTCTGCCCTAGTTTGAATATTATTAGGGATTTTTGATTGCTTCACTACTTATGTGTTGTATTCTTTCATTTAGTTAGAAGAATTTATGAAGCAAATTGAAATTTAAGGGCCAAAATATTATCCACTAGTTTGAGGTACTGTTTCACAATAAAGTGGTTTATTACACACTGATTTTCTAAGAATATGTTTTGCTGTTGAATAAATCCTCCCATGTGGAGTTCATTGTTGGAATGCCATTTGTCTGAATGAACTGATTTACCTTTGTGGGCCTGTCTTGATATTGTAGTTGTTGGATGGTGGCAACAGAGCAAGTGTAGGATTGGAAAGTTATCCAGCATGAAGTTGGAATTGGTCAAAATAGTTAGTAGAAATGTCCGTGAGATTTTTCACTATATTGCAGAATTGTATAGAACTGGGAGAAAATCAGTGCTAAGAGCATTTTCAAAAATTTTGGTTGGTAGTTTAGGTTAAAATATGGTTTTGATAGCCTTTTCTTTATAATAAAAAATCTATTGACACATTTATTTTTATTTTGATACACATAATTCTTTTTGTTTTTAATTTGTTACACTTCACCACCAAATATATAGTTTTTATTGTCTTTTTACTCAAGAATTGCCAAGAAGATGCTTTTAGAAGAAATTAAAGCCAATCTTTCCTCTGATGAGGATGGATCTTCAGATGATGAATCAGAAGAAGGGAAAAAAAGAAGTGGAAAACACAATGAAGAAAACCCTGGAGATGAGGGTGAGCTCCCCAAAGAGAAGTATAGGATGTCATAATTATTTGACCAATTCAGGCTTTGAAGACTGTCTGACCATGAAATCTCTTAACACATGCATTTGAAGTTTATTAAAATGTTGAAAACTTTACTACCTTTACTCTGTTTGAATATCTGGTAATAATTGTGCAAGTTTTGCCAGTTACTGCCAATAAACAGATGATTTTTAGAGGAAAATATTTTTTACCTTTTAAAAAAATCTATAAATGTATACTGGTGATATTTAATCAATATTTAATAATAGTAAGAGATCAAGTTTGATGTATGAGATAGCCTGTTATCACCAATGCAACCCAGATAAGTACACAGCTCTGATCAGTTCAATAAATCATGATAATTGTCAACAAACAAAATATGTAGTTTTACAACATTTTAAAGGAAAAAAGGCTGAAGGTTTTACTGATTTGTTTTCTCCATTTAGAAGCAAAAAATCAAGTCAATTCTGAATCAGATTCAGATTCTGAAGAATCTAAGAAGCCAAGATACAGACATAGGCTTTTGAGGCACAAGCTGACTGTGAGTGATGGAGAATCTGGAGAAGAAAAAAAGACGAAGCCTAAAGAGCACAAAGAAGCCAAAGGCAGAAATAGAAGGAAGGGTAAGACATTTTAATTCTGATAGCAAGGAACATACTGGTTTTATAAACTAAGTATAGTTGTGAAATTTAAGTATATTGGCTCCGACAATTGACCACCTATATTAGGTGAGTATCAGCGCACTGACAACAACTATTCTGAGAGTGAAATAAAGAATTTAGAGTGGGAAGATAACCCAGAAACTTGAGATGACACAAAGACTATTTTTGACCTTTAGTAGTCATACACATTTAGATTAAAAAGACAAAGAAATATGACAATAAATAAAATATGCATTAAAGTTATGTAGAAAATTTAAGACTGCCTGTAAGTGCAGGAGGAAATAATGAGGAAAGATAGAACATACAATTAATTTGGATAGATTTATGCAAGTTTATATGTAAAACTTTAGCCAGATTAAATTTTTATTACATTAAAAGTCTGAGACCTTCTGCATTGAGTTACTTACCTGTTTCCAGCATCATGGTAAACATTGAGGATACAAAATGAATAAGGAAATCATTGTCTTATGTGATGGTTTTCAACCTGACTACACACGCAGTTAACTTGGATTTAAAAATATACCTATGGCAGGGCTGCATCCCAAGCCAATTACAGCATAATTGGTGGTGGTGGGACCTATGTATCCATATGTTTTAAGAGCATCTCTGATATGATTTTGATATATACCAGGTTTGGCAGTCATTGGTTTAATAAGAATTATTGACATTAATATTATACGAAATTATAGTACCATGAGGGTTGTCTTATATAACAGAGGTATTATGAAGTGTGGCACTGAGAGGATTTCTTTAGCTTCTTGTGGTCTAGGGGTTATCACCAGAGAAGACTTCACAAAGATGAAGAGTTTCACCCAGCAGATCAAGTTCTAAATGGGGAGCAGGTAGATGTGTTGTGAAGATTTATAATACAAGCAGGGAAAAAATTTTAAAAGCCTCTGCAAATTGTTTAGCACATGGTGGAGGGGATGCACTTAATGTGGTATAGCTGGAGTATAGGAGGGAGGAGGGAAAGGAACAGCAGGAAATTAGGCTGGGCCAATAAGACAGAGACCAGATACTAGAGACCTTTGTAAGCCTGTGTTTCTCAAACTGAAGTACTTGGCAGTGGACTCATGGATCTCTTTGGTGTGTTCATTTTACTTGAGAGTTGGCGGAGAGCATTCTTATATTAAGTAATCACATATATTGAGCAATTAAATGTGAACTTTTCCTGAGAATTTCGGCTAACAAGAAGTTTAAAGAAAGTTTTTTCTTCTTTGGGGCAGATTCTGAAGACTTTACTAGCCAATTCCTGTCGGGCAGATTAACTCTTCTTTGCCACTAGGAATAAGAAAGCATTTTTGGAAGTGTCTGAGAAGTATAGTAGGCTCTGTAGGATGGAGAGCCATTGAAAGGTTTAAAATTTTCTTTAATTTTAAAAATTATTTTTATATCATAGCTATATTGAGACATAATTCACAAACCATACAGTTTACCAGTTTAGTGTATAATTTGTTTTTAGTGTAGTCACAGAGGAGTGCCACCACTTTTTAAAAAACTTTTTATTTAAGGTATATATACAGAAAAGTGTGCATTTCATAAGTGGATAGCTTGATGAACATGTATGGCACCTCAAGACACAGGACATTCGTTACCAGCACTCAAGAATCACAACTTCAGCACAACCACTCATTTTTTCCATTGAAAGATTTCAACCAAGGTTGTAATACATTCAGATTAGTTGCCTGTTATTCTGTGAGACTGAAGGCTTTGAATCCATTTGAAGGATATTGCCATAGTTGATGTCAAGTGTGGTTGTTCTGGTATATGTGTAATAGTGAGATTACCCAGTGGAGCTGTAATGTTGTGCAAATAGAGGGCTAAGGAAAGAATCTTGGAATCCTGAACATTTAAAGGGCTAAAGAGCAGCAGCTATCCATTAAAGAAGAGGAGGAAGGTACCCCCCCACCCACACATATACTTAATATTTCATGGATATTTTCATATAGACAAATAAATAATAGTACCTCATTTTGTGAATGCTTTTCTCATAAATTTCTTTGCAGCCTGAGTACAAGCTGGTCTTTCAGATTCTATAAAGGAACTGAGTGATTTAGCATAACAACATGATTTCCTGTGCATCTTCAACAAAAGGAGAAATACTGATTTTGCCTCTGAGGCTTAGCTCAGGAATATAGAGTCCTTTAGTGGGCCAAATACATTTGAAATGCTTTATTGAAACCCAAGTTTTCTGTGACCTGTGTTTCCATTGTCCTCTTCTGTGGGTAACTTATTACCCAGCTGTTTTTTTTTTTTTTTTGGTTCATTTGTGTAGAAGGGAGTAAACTGAAATCCCATCATATTAATTTTTCTAATGTAGGTTATGATCATAGTGATTGATACTACATTTGGAGTTGCATGATTTTCCAAGTTTTGCAAACTCTGGTGTCCCTGTATTGTCTGGAAACTTAATGTTGGGCAATGGGGAGAAATCAAAAGCTAACAGCTGAATTATAATATTAAATCAAGTGTAGTATGTGGATTTCAATTTTCACCTAAATTTTTAAAAAGTTATAAAAGTTATTTTGGTGATAATTTCAAAAGTGTTTATTGATTGCCTTTATAGTAGATGATATTAAAATTGATATTATTTTTCTCATGCATTATAATGGTATTTAGTTATGTAGGACAGTGTCCTTATGCTTAAGGGTTAACTGTCATGATAGCAGCACTTAATTTCAAATAGTTCAGTGCAAAAAAGGGTGTGTATATGTTTAGGGAGAGATAAAGCAAATGTGCTAAGTGAATTTAGGAGAAAGGATACATTCAAAAATTCTTTAAAACTTGTGGTAGGCTTGAAATTTTTCAAAATAAAATGTTGGATGAAAAATGAATACTAGACTTAAAATTGTATTTAATTACAGGATAAGTTTGTGCGTGCATGTGTGTTCTCCCAAATTCCCAGTTGTTTAGCAGTTCTTTTTTACTATTGTTTTTTTTATTGTGATAAAATATACATAACATAAAATTTTAACCATTTTTAAGTTTTTGAAGTAATTAAGTAGCATTAATATATTCACATTGTTGTGCAACCATTAACACTATCTGTCTCCAGAATTCTTTCATCATCCAAAGCTGAAACTCACTAAACAATAATTCCTCATTCCCCTCTTCTCCCATAGCAAGTCTTTATATTATTTATGCTTGCCTATGTGTTTTTTTAGATAGAATAGACCTTTGATTCTGAGGTCAGCTCATGATATTCTAAAAATATTTTATTTTGAAATAATTTTAGATTTATAGAAATGTCAGAAAAATAGTGTGGAGTTCCTATATACCCTTCACCCAGCTTCCCTAATTTAATACCTTATACTTATTACAGCACAACAATCAAAACCAGGAAATTAACATTGATGGCAATACTATTAGTTCAACCAGGGTTTGACAGACTACACCTGTAGGCAGAATCTGACCTTCTGCCTTATTTAAGTTGCTTAAGTTGGTGTCTGCTGGATTTTTCCACTATAAAAAAAAAAACTATTTTTCTGTTCATATTTAATATCTTGTGGGGAGATACTTTGAGACAATGCAAATATCCTATTTTTCATCATACTTATGCCGACTAATTTTAGCATCCAACTGCCTGAGCAGTTTTTACTGTGATGTATGTTTAAGTGGTGATTTTCAGTTTCTTTCATTACTTCTAGGAAGAGTTGTTTCCCCCTGCTTATTTATTTATTGCATTGCTTATATTAATATGGACTTATAGATAGATATTTATTTTATTCTATGAGTTATAATCCAGTTGTTCATTTTGTTGCTCAGATTGTTCCAGCTTTGCTTATTGGGAGCTTCTCAAGTTGGATCCTGTGTCCTTTGAATATATCCCCATCACTTTTTGAGCACTGCTTTACTTTCTGGCACCATAAGATAGTCCAGGCTCATCTTATATTTTCCCTGCCTGGCTTCCTCTGGCCAGAAGGATATGGGTATTCTCCTGGGATTTCAGATGCCTATGTCTTAGTGGCAGTTTTGGTACAGAAAAATAAAATTTTGGAGAGAAAAAATAAAATTGGGAATTCACCTTATATTCTTGTGATATGCAGGGCTCTGCTCCTTTTCCCAGTGCTGTGGCTAGAAATGCAGTCCTCCCAGAGTTTTGCTGTCAGCACCCTCTGCATAGTTTTGGAATTCAGCCGGCCTTCCGTCAAAACCAGGAAAGAAAGGAGGAAAAAATAAAACACATGACGTTCACATCCCTCCACAATTTTATGGGGATCATTATTCAGGTTTTGATTTCAGTCCCTAGTCTGCCTGCTCTTGTTTCCTTTTCACAGTTCTTAGGTTGTTATTTTATGTATTCTGTCTATAGTTTTCAGTTGTCATAAATGGCAGAGGGTCTGTAATCGCCCTTATTCCACCTTGGCCAGCCTACTTTGCTTGTTTTAAATAACCAGAATTCTTTTATTGACAGGCAATTTCTCATTTTGTCAATTTGTATACAATTAATACATATATTTTAATGTAGAATCATAATTTTATAACCATAGTTGGATTTCACTTGAATTTTTTTATAAATACCATTTGTGTCATTAACTGGTCTAATCTATATGACATAATATGTACTACAGATATTATTCTCATAATACTCTTAAGTTTTAATGTGAAGTTGTTGACAAATTGCATTTCTACTGGGAAGTATTTAATAACTTTTAATATATATTTTTATTCAAGTGAGCAGTGAAGATTCTGAAGATTCTGATTTTCAGGAATCAGGAGTTAGTGAAGAAGTTAGTGAATCTGAAGATGAACAACGGCCAAGAACACGGTAAATATATAGTATTTTCTAAAATTTTAGGAATTAATCTGAATAACCATGCTTCAAATTATTTGTAGAAAGTTTGCTGTTACTAATAAAGTAAGATATTTAACATTTTGATTTGAAACTAATTATTAAAATTATTAATTTAAAAATAGTATGTATAAACATACTATATATACTTGAATTGTATGTTCTGAATTAGGTGGACTTTCAGTGTGCAAAAACACGCTTAACTGTAATTTTTCGTTGTTGTGGTGAGAAGTTGTAGTAGGTAAGAGGCTCTGTAGACAAACTACTGCACTCTAACTCCTGGCTTTACTACTTCCTGTTTGTATGAATACTCTGTACTTCAGTTTCCTTATCTGTAAAATGGGGGATTACATTATTATTTACCTTATTGATTATTGTAGGCATTAAATGAGATAGTGCATGTAAAAGACTTATAATAGTGCCTATTTGGTAATTAGTAAGTGCTCCATGAATGCTAATTATTGCTCTTTGTAGTACTACTAGTATTATAGTAATTAAGATGTGTTTGTTCTCTCAATACACATAGCTACTGATCTAGATTACAAGTTACTTAAAATTTTGCTTCCTTCTTAGCATAGTATTTTAGATAATAATAACCGTTCTAAGAAATTTTTTATTTCCTCCAGAATAATATGATACTTCTATCAACTTATCAATTTGTGTTTGTGTGAGTGTGTATATGTATATCTACAGAGCTGTTTGCACTTGTAAATTTTAAAACATTTGAGGTTGTTTTAGATTAATACCAGGTTGTGCCTGGAGTATAGTAACATACTGTACTTCAGGGAAATATAAAATAACAATAGGATACAATGAGAATTTTAAAGCACTGAGATGGAATTCACATAACACAAAATTCACTATTTTAAAAAGTAGAATACAGGGATTTTTAGAATATTTACAAAGTTGTGCATCTACTACCACTATCTAATTTCAGAACATTTCCATCATCCCAGACAGAAATCCTGTACCCCTTAGCCGTCATTTCCCATTCTTCCTGCTTCTCATCCCCTGGCAAAAACTAATCTATTTGTGTATGGATTTACTTATTCTGAACATTTCATATGAATAGATTCGTAAATATGTGTCTTTTTTATGAATGGATTTTCTCAGTTAGCATAATGTTTTCAATGTTTATCCAGGGCTGTAGCTTGTTTCAGTACTTTATTCCTTTTTAAAAAAATATTTTATTGAAGTATAGTTGATTTACAATGTTGTGTTAATTTCTGCTATATAGCAAAGTGATTCAGTTATGCATATTTATATTCTTTTTTGTATTATTTTCCATTATGGTTTATCACAGGATATTAAATATAGTTCCCTGTGGAATTTGAATATAGTTCAAGTAGGACCTTGTTGTTTATCCATCCTATATATAATAGTTTGTGTCTGCTAATCACAAACTCCCAGTCCTTCCCTCCTTCACCCCCTCACTTCCCCTTGGCAGCCACAAGTCTGTTCTCTACGTCTGTGAGTCTGTTTCTGTTTCATAGATATGTTCATTTGTGTCCTATTCTAGATTCCACATATAAGGGATATCATATGGTATTTGTCTTTCTCTTTCTGACTTACTTCACTTAGTATGGTAATCTCTAGGTCCATCCAAGTTGCTGCAAATGGCATTGTTTCACTTGTTTGACGACTGAGTAATATTCCGTGTGTGTGTGTGTGTGTGTGTGTGTGTGTGTGTGTGTGTGTACACACACACCACATCTTTATCCATTCATCTGTAGATGGACATTTTAGGTTGTTTCCATGTCTTGGCTATGGCAAATAGTGCTGCTAGGAACATAGGGGCGCATGTATCTTTTCGAATTATAGTTTTGTCTGGGTATATGCCCAGGAATGGAATTGCTAGAACATATGGTAACTCTAATTTTAGTTTTTAGAGGACACTCCATACTGTTTTCCCTAGTGGTTGCACCAATTTACATTCCCACCACCAGTGTAAGAGGGTTCCCTTTTCTGCACACCCTCTCCAGCATTTATTATTTGTGGACTTTTTAATGATGGCCATTCTGAATGGTGTGAGGTGGTACCTCATTGTAGTTTTGATTTTCATTTCTCTAATAATTAGTGATGATGAGCATCTTTTCATGTGCTTTCTGGACATCTGTATGTATTCTTTGGAAAAATGTCTATTTAGATCTTCTGCCCATATTTTTGATTGGGATTTTTTGTTATTTTTATTGAGCTGCATGAGCTATTTGTATATTTTGGAGTTTAATTCCTTGTCAGTCGTATTGTTTGCAAATATTTTCTCTCATTCTGTGGGTTATCTTCTCCTTTTGTTTGTGGTTTCCTTCACTATGCAAAAGCTTTTAGGTTTAGTTATATCCCGTTTGTTTATTTTAGTTTTATTTTCATTATTCTAGGACGTGGATCTGAAGAGATATTGCTGCAAGTTATATCGAAGAGTGTTCTGCCTATGTTTTTCTCTAAGAGTTTTATAGTACCTGATCTTACATATAGGTCTCTTTTTTTTTTTTTTTTTTTTTTTTTTTTTTTTTTTTTTTTTG